CTGTGCCCCGTGGCTCCCTGCCCGGCCGGGGCCTTGCTGCGGCTGCCTGGCCTGGGAGAGGATGCTGCAGCGGCTCTGCTTACGCAACGCCCTTCCCTGTTGCCTGACTGAACTTGCCTATGAGTAACTTTGTGTCAGTAATATTGCTGCCTTTCAGCGAGGGAGGTGAGCGGGGCTCACAGGCATTCGCCTCTGTTTTGTCTCTTGTTGTGAGAAATCCTGGTTCCCAAAGCAAGCGGCCTGGACCGCTCTGTGGTTCAGACCCTGGTGAGGAGACTGCCATCCTGCACATGCAGGAGGGGAATCCGTGAAATAAGCGAGGCATCCTTTAGTCTGGGCTATTTCCAATTTGGATTCCTTGGCTATGCAACTGCAACTGTATTTTTTTTTTATTTTGTTTAGTGAGAAGAATTTTGTCTAGCAGGTTGACTGTGTAGCACTGAGTTCTTTCTCTTGGGTTGTCCATGTGCGGTTTGGCTGTTTGGTCCTCTCTGGCAACAATACTGGGAAGAATAATGGTATTTGGCCTGGCTCTCACTGCACACAAGAAGTTATTCTACAGGCTTGAATCCATGCTGTAAATCAGAGATTTAGATTTGTGGTCATTGGTTTTTGTTTTTTTTTTCTCCCCCTAAAGCAACTAATTCTTTGAAAGCAAAGAAAAAGACATTTTATCTGACTTCAGCAGTGAACAGAAGTGCTGCAAGTTGCGGAACCGAGCTGCCCGAGCAAAGCAGTGGTTTTCTCCCGCAGCGGCGGGTCCTGCGTGGTCAGCGTGGGAGGCGACTCCATCACACAGCCCTTGGCATGTGTGCGAAGCCGGCACAGACAGGCGAACGTGCGGGCGGCACTTGTGGAACGGCTGCTCTGCCCACAAACCTTGAACTTCGTGGGGCAGAAGGCGACAAACCAAACAAACAAGACCCTGACCAGCACTTTGGAGGGATTTTTCGGCTGGAAGAATTATGTGGACATGAAAAATTGTCTCTTCGGAGAGGCGGGCACTCCGGGGGCGAGCGGAGGTGCTGGGGATGAGTGGCAGTTTGCGTTGCTGTAGCCGCAGCTGGACGTGCTTGAAAGAGGAGCGGATGAATTCACAGCTGCCGGGCTAGGACCTAGCATTTACATTGTAATTTGCCCTTCAAATTTTGGCAAGCTTCGTTTGCCGTTTGCTGGACAAATCTCTCTTTTGTGTCCTCCTTCTGCCTGCGTTAAACAGCAAGCGCTGCCAGAGAGAGCTGCTCGTGGTAGATTCCTTTTCTCGGCTATTTTTAGTGATGAAAACAAGTTCGTGATCTTTACAGGAATACTGCCAAAGCAGATAGGTTTAGCATGAGATGTGCCCTTTCTCTTTTGACTCCCGAATGCACCCTGCGCTTCGCTTTCCTCCCCTTTCCTGCCACCCTCAGCGGCTCGCTCTGTTGTGCAAACATTGCACTGCCGCTTCCAGAGATTTTGCTCTGAAAGAACGAGTCCCTGCTCTAGGGAAAACTCCGGCCTTTAGGTTGCCACTGTCCCTACCCCTCCCTTTGCTTGATTTCCTGAAAGAGCAGACTACTGCTCTTCAGGAAGATCTTTCTGAACAAGAATGGCCTCATGATTTAGTTAAGAAACTGCAGGCCTTTTATTGCTTAGGCGAGCTTCACTCAACAGACTAATCAGTTTGTTCACCATCTGACTGTGCCCTTTATTTGGGGAAAAAGGGAATTACGAAGGCAGTGGGAGGGAAACAATTGTATTCCTTCAAGGGCAGAATACTACTAGGAGCCTGATTCTCATTAATACAATGTCATTAATACAAAGCAGGTGTAGTCATTGTGTCCCGCTAGGTTAAATACCTTTCACACCAGGTTAAATGTCTCCAGTGTTAGTGGCTGTGAGTCTCTATTAAAACACTAACCAAAGAATTTCAGCTGCAATCCAGGGGAAAGAAAGAAAGGTTTGCAAATAAAAGAAAGAACTTCTTGCCATACTTTTTCATGAGGAAGAACTTCTTCCCTCTGAGGGTGACGGAGCCCTGGCACAGGCTGCCCAGGGAGGTTGTGGAGTCTCCTTCTCTGGAGATATTCAAGACCTGCCTGGACAAGGTCCTGTGCAGCCTGCTGTAGGTGACCCTGCTTTGGCAGGGGGGTTGGACTAGATGACCCACAGAGGTCCTTTCCAACCCCGACCATTCTGTGATTCTGTGATTCTGTGATTCTTGTTTGGTTCAAGCAGGCGGCGTTGCGCAGTTCGTTCTGATCAGGCAGTCCCCGCGTGAGAGTTCAGCGTGCTCTGATCGCGGGCGATTCCCTCCCCTGTCCCTGCTGGGTTGTACGGGCTGACCCCGGGCCGGGCAGCGCTGAGGCAGGGCTGCGGTGAGCTGTGCGCAGCCCTTCGCTCCCTGAAGGGCAGGGGTCTGGGCGCTGAGGCTGCCGGGACTGCTCTGCACCCTTGCCCCTGGCCCAGAGGAGGCCAGGCAGAGCGTGGCTGCTCAGCGCTGTGCCTGGCTACTGGCCACACCTGAGCCCAGGTAGCCGGGGCAACGGGGTCGGCAAGGGGCAGCGGGTGGAGAAAGGCAGTGAAGTGACAACTGTTGTCATCTCCTTGCCTGATTTCCTAGTTCGAGTGGGTAGGAAGAGGTCGGGTTGATGCCCCGGACATGCTTCGTGGGTGCAGTGCAGACCCTGAGCCAGCTCGTGTTCCTGGGGTGGTTTGTACGCCGACCCTTCCCTCCAGCGCCCGTAGCTGTGGGGAGCGGCCGTGGGGCTGCGGCTCTGCTGGCGGCGGCACACCGTGTCAGCCATGCAGCTTTTTGCGCACAGTTGGAGGACGGAGCGTCGCACAGGTAGATTTGGGCTGGGCTGTGTTTACTGGCTGTGTGTTGTGGAGACGGACTCGTCGCCCAGATCCTCGGCTTCGATGGAGCCGTGAAGTCACCGTCGTATTTTTGGCTCCCTGCGTAGCGGCGTACCCTGGGGTGATCGAGGGGCATGGCATCAGCCTTCCCAGCCTCCAGGCATCCGTCGCTCTCCCGTTTTACATTGACAACTGTGATTTTGAGTTCTGAGCAGTTCTTGTTTTTATTAACCATGTGGGAAATCTTGGAAGCTGGTTGAAAACTGAATGTTTTCTTCAACTTCAGCGAGTATGCTTCGGCACTGCGTTTCCACGTGGGGGTGGATAAATGTGAGAGAGGCTCTTATTTTGAGGGCAAACAAATGGATCGTGCACCTCCACGGGTCAGCGTTCGTGAGTGTGCGAACAAGGCCTGGCTCTGTTAATCAAAGCATTTGTGTGCGCGTGGTAACAACAGCACGGAGTTAGTGCAGTTTCAAACTGCGTAGTTGTACCAGGATGACTGATATATTATCACCCCCCCAAAAGAAGAAAGACACTTTCCTAACCACGTTTTTAAATTGATTTACACACCAGCAATACTTCCTGCTACGGAAGCACAAGGGATCGTCTATTGCGTTAATCAAAGGCAAACCAGCAGCATTTGCTGGCCTTAAAAAGTGGTGTGGCTTTTGTATACTCATATGCTTGTCCTGGCACGTTTTCAAAAATTATAAATAGATTACTGGGAAGTCCCTGGATAACAAAAACATACTGCTGCTGGTTGCTGTAAATAAACTAATAAGAGACGTCTTGGTCTTGCAGCTCTCGTTCTTTGGAGGAGTCCTTACTTGTGGATACAGTTTTGTGTGTCAGTTCACACGAGGCAGGGCTGTTTCTGCAGCAGTGGGGTGAAGCTTCGTGTCCCTCTCTGTATCTCTTGCAGGTCTAGTGCTCTCTCAGCTTGGTTCTTTCTGAGCAGAGTTGTCCAGCCTTTTCCAAGCTTTTGCCTTTTCAGTTCCTTCATCTCCAGCTACCAATAGCTTAGGAGGACCCCAGGCCAGACTTGTTTCGGCGTTATCCCTGGCAGTGCAGAGTCTCTCTAATGCCACATGCTATAATACCGCTTATTAAAGGACAGGCTGATACCCGTCTGACTGCTGTAGGGTATTATGTAGGATCAGAAGGCTATAGCCTCTTTTCTCTATCACCTTCAAAGGGATGGAAGCCTCATGGAAGCCCTGTTCCTCCTCCAGGAATGTGCAGAGAATGTGCCATCGTTGCTTACTAGATGATGGCAAGTGGTTTTTTTTCTGCCAGACAGGGTCGTCAGCTCCTCAAGCGAGGGAAGTCAAGGTAGATCTGTCAGTGGTGCGGTCCTGATTTTTGCTACCTGAGGATCTGGCTCCAAAGGGACGGGGATTGGTATGTTTGCTGTGTGATCCCATTCCAGCTGTGGACATGTGTACAGTCTGAAATCGCCCGCAAGAGCAATGTTGGCAAGCACTTTAAGTGTGGAAGGGATGAACTTCCGTCTGGAGTAGGACCTTAACAAAAGAGAATGGTTTAGTGTAAAGGTCGTGGAAAATGGGTGCTTTAAACAGACCTTCCTCCCCACTCCTGTCACTGGGTGAAAAAATGGGGAAACGATTGTAAATGAAGTGTTGAGGAGAAAGCACAACAATCAAACCTAAGTGCTGTGTGAACTTGTCTGACTTAACCGTGGTTAACCATGAGCCAGCAGCGTGCCCTGGCTGCCAAGAAAGCCAATGGCATCCTGGGGTGCATCAAGAAGAATGTGGCCAGCAGGTCGAGGGAGGTTCTCCTCCCCCTCTACACTACCCTAGTGTCCTGGGTTCGGCCAGGACAGGGTTAATTTTCACCGGACTGCAGGAAGGGGCACAGCCCGGGGGTGGGGGCTGACCCCACCTGACCCCACCTGACC